GATATTTTTTAAAAAAATATTTTTTGGCTCTTCCTTGTCCCAAATATTGTAGATGAAATTTGTTTATTTATTTTTTATTAGTTTTTATTTATCTACTTATTTTGAGGAATTGAAATTTCAATCATTTTGCAAGACAGCCAAGATATTTTTATATATATTTTTGTCTCTTCCTTGTCCCAAATATTGTAGATGACATTTGTTTATTTATTTTTTATTAGTTTTAATTAATTAATTAATTTATCTATTTATTTTGAGGAATTGAAATCATCACATCATTTTGCAAGAAAGCCAAGATATTTTTTAATATTTTTGGGCTCTTCCTTGTCCCAAATATTGTAGATGAAATTAATTTTTTTAATTAGTTTTTAATTTTCCTTTATTTCTTAATTTATTTTTGAGGAATTTAAATCTCACTTATTTTGCTAGAAAGCCAAGATATTTTTTAAAAAAATATTTTTTGGCTCTTCCTTGTCCCAAATATTGTAGATGAAATTTGTTTATTTATTTTTTATTAGTTTTTATTTATCTACTTATTTTGAGGAATTGAAATCATCAAATCATTTTGCAAGACAGCCAAGATATTTTTATATATATTTTTGTCTCTTCCTTGTCCCAAATATTGTAGATGACATTTGTTTATTTATTTTTTATTAGTTTTAATTAATTAATTAATTTATCTATTTATTTTGAGGAATTGAAATCATCACATCATTTTGCAAGAAAGCCAAGATATTTTTTAATATTTTTGGGCTCTTCCTTGTCCCAAATATTGTAGATGAAATTAATTTTTTTAATTAGTTTTTAATTTTCCTTTATTTCTTAATTTATTTTTGAGGAATTTAAATCTCACTTATTTTGCTAGAAAGCCAAGATATTTTTTAAAAAAATATTTTTTGGCTCTTCCTTGTCCCAAATATTGTAGATGAAATTTGTTTATTTATTTTTTATTAGTTTTTATTTATCTATTTATTTTGAGGAATTGAAATCATCAAATCATTTTGCAAGAAAGCCAAGATATTTTTAATATTTTTGGGCTTGTCCTTGTCCCAAATATTGTACATAAACAATACATATGAAATGAAAACATACATGCATAAATGCAAAACTTTTAAATGTACAGTACAGATGTCCTATCAACAGGGGGTCGGTGTAGGAGGAGGAGGAGGAGCTAGTTTTGTCCCAGCCCAGTTTTGTAGCAAACAATAAGAACATGCCATGTCTACTGTAGCAGGCAGCAAAGGTGAATAATAAAAAAGGTTATCACTCTTTATATGACTTGAAGTCACAGATGTGAGCAGAAACCTGTCCTTCAGGAGACACTGAGTTGTGTCTGATGTTTATGCACACTGGTGTATGTGCGGTGTGTGGAAGAAGCAGTGTGGTTTTGACAGAGTATCAACATTGTATTCTGACTGTTCGGCCAAAGTTTGAGTGCTTGAGAGAGACAGAGAAGTAAATTGTAGTGTGTCTTGTCCCAGATTAGATTGCAGGGTTTCTACTTTGTTGGTAACCAGAGGTTTTGGCTTTTTTAGTGGAGACGACTGAAGAGAGTCAGAGTCAGATTTATGCAGTCATTCCAACTTCCTCCTGTTTTTTTTTAATTTATTTCACTTTAATTTTTTTTATTTATTTACTTATTTGTATTAATTAATTCATCCATTTGTTTATTTATTTATTTATTTAATATTTATTTGTTTATTCATTTATTTGTTTGTTGTGTTCACCAGATCTCACTGAGGTTTTTGCCCATAAGATTTCAGCCCCATAAAATTCTTTAAAGACTGATTTCTAATACAGCACAGAGTCTGAACCTTTGCTTTATTAAAGGTTACTTATACTTTAATTCATGCATTAATACATAGATCAATAGTAAGATTTTTTTTTTTTCTAAAAAGGACTTTTAAGCAGCCTGATGGTAGAGGTGGAATATAAGAAAGTACATCACCCAATTTATTCATTCATTCATTCATCTTCTAACAGCTTCATCCTCTTGAGGGTCGCGGGGGGCTGGAGCCTATCCCAGCTGGCAGCAGCGGGCGAGAAGCAGGGTTCACCCTGGACATGTCGCCAGACTATCACAGGGCTGACACATAGAGAAAAACAACCATTCACGCTCACATTCACACCTACGGACAATTTAGAGTTATCAATTAACCTAGTCCCCAATCTGCATGTCTTTGGACTGTGGGAGGAAGCCGGAGTGCCCGGAGAGAACCCACGCTGACACGGGGAGAACATGCAAACTCCACACAGAAGGGCTCCCACACCCGGGATCGAACCGGCAACCCTCTTGCTGTGAGGCGACAGTGCTAACCACCACACCAAAAAAATGGTAGAAACCTTAGGAAGAGCAACAGAGGAGGGATTCTTCTTCCAGGACAGACAGATATGTAATAGATGTCGTGTGTACAGAGCAGATCAGCATAATACATTTACAGTAATCCATGTGAAGAAATGAGACTGAGAGGGACAGACAGGTGCAGGGCAAACACTAATGACAATAGCTACAATAACATTAATTATAGATTAAATAGGAATAGTATTTTGGTAGTATACATGTTATACATATATTGATATATGATAGTGTATGTATGTGACAACAAATCATATGTGTATAGAAGTATGACTAAATCAAGTGATAAAATACAATATGATATTAAAGGTTAAGCTTCTCATTAGTGTATAATGTCATTAAAATGAGCTCAAACTTCACCAGCTGCAACATTACAGCAATGAACACATGAACGCATCAGTAATTATAATCTAGAGATGGATCCGTCTCCATTAGGAGTACTTTTACTCTTGTATATTAGTATATTTTGGTGCTATAACTTTGTACTTTTACTTGAGTGACAATTTGAATGCAGGACTTGTGGTATTATTACTTTTACTGATGTAAAAAATCTTCCACCATTGCCTGGTGGTGAAAAATCTGATCAATATCTCACTTTATAATGAGACAATAGGTCTGCAGTTATAAATGTTAGTAATTAATTAATAATTAGGTTCCACTATGGTCGTAATACACCCAGTCTGGAGTTGTAAATGTGGATTGGTAGGTAATAAATGGATTTTGTTCAAGATGATCTTCAGCGCTTTGCAGCAGGTGGGTGGTGAAACTAAACATCAGGAGGTCTTGCTGATAAACCGAGGAATTAAGAAGACACGTTACACTAAACATCAGTCAACTGATTTTAACACAACCAGGCAAATCAAAGCTTTCTTTTGTTAATCTGTTAAACATTAATAAACTATCAGTTACCCATGAATAGAGCCACAACTTATAAACCGTAACCATAACAGATTTCCGTCTCATGCTGTGTATCAAATGAGATCATTAATTGTTTTAATATTTTGCAACTCTCACCCTCATTTTCCTGAAATTCCAAAACTTTCACAAGACACATAATTAAAATTCATATTTTATCATGAATACACATATGATTGCAAAACTAAACTTTACACATAATTATAGTCAGGCATTCATTTTGTATTATTATCACTCTGATTTGACCTGAACACAGACGTACTGAGTTATGAGCATGATCATTTTGTGTTGTAATGGTTATTGTGCATGATTTAAGGAAGCCTTGTGGGATGAAGTAAACAATAATTTAAACAATATTTATGACAGCAAAGAGTTCAGTATTGGCC